AACTGTTAACTGGCCTTGACTGAACTTACAATTGACAGGTTGCTTACTAAGTCGTAACTTAGTGTATGTGTTTACCCGCAGCCAGACACTAATTCATAATTTCGCAGAGAACGACAGAAATGATGATCAAATGCCATAGATCAAACAATAAATTTAAAATAACTCACAATGTTTGAAAATGCAAAGAATCCTCTAATGGCGATTCTCCTCCTAATCCTATCCCCAGTTTTATCAAAGTGACCAGTATATTTGGAAACATAAATAAACGTCGGTATTCAGAGGGCGCCAGCAGAGAACAAAATCATATGGCATTGTAAATGGTCTTATCAGAGAGAATTAAATTTCATGATTTTCAGTTTTTAGGGCATCTCATTTCGATAAAGAATAGAATATGCAGCAATGCATGTCACATTTTGTTGATGAAAAAGCAATGGATGTCACATTTTGTTTACCTTATTGTTCCGAGAATCAGTAAAATAGACAATTTAAATATTAAGTAGCATGAGCAAAAAAATAGAGCTGTGTAACTCCTCGGTTTTTTAAATGTTTAATACATATCTACAAATTTTCAGGAAATGCATAGAGTCACAATGAAATTTAATTAAGATAATGTTGCCTAGAATTTCTAGATTTACTATTATAATGTTATTCTAATTAAGTTTTTAATTCACAATAAGCTTTCAAGTTTTCATATTTTAACAAATTAATAATGATCTCGTTGATTATAAATAAATGTATGAATTAAAATTTTATAACCTGCGAATTTTATTAAAAAATGTCTAAATTATGTATTTATTGTGTGTGCGTATATACATATATATCCTCCTTCTGAATAATATATATTCATATATATATCCTTCAAATATAAAAATAAAGGAGAGTATTAAGAAATTTATATTTTTATAAAAATATAAATGCTGTAAAATTTATATTTTTATTCAAAACTCACACATTTAGCATATTACGCAATTTCACTTCCTTTTTCCAGCGTTATTATATTACATACAGATATTCCTTTTTTTAAGATAATACGCCTATGTATAGTCAGCATACAATTGATTTTTCTTCATTCTCATTTTTTACCTCGATATCACTTGTTTTCATTAAAATAGCTTTGCCGTAACACAATACAAAGTTTCTTAAAAAGCATTCTAAGATCACGAAAACATATTATTCAAAAATGATTAAATGTATAAAAAATAATTCAAATCTTAAAATGCTAAAGTATATGCGAAGTTTTGAATTTAAAATTATTGACTCCATTTGTGACACTGCTGATCTCGAAACTACTTTCGATGTCGTGGAAAGTCCATAGATTTATGTATCTATTCCCGTAAATGCTGAACATTCATTCACTCCTTTCGAAGGTGTTAGAGACTGTAAATAATATTTTTATGTGAAAAAAATGCCATCGCTTTAATGCAGCAGCTTTTAAAACTGTTCTATGGTACTAAATAAGTTTATGATTCCACAGCAAAATGGGATTGTAACAATCTAGCCCTCTTGATCCAAGGTGTTGCAGAACTTCCCTTTACTTCCTTATCCCACATCCATCAAAAATTATATTCTTGCGCTCACTGCAATACATTGCAATACTTGAATGAATTTAACATTTTGAATGAGATTTTTTAATCATAAAACATTCTTTCCTATGATGTTATTGATTTCAAATGACCATGTCACAAATGATTATTATTATTTTTTTTAGTATTTAAAATATTGCATCAACCTTAAAAATTTTTATTAGTTTACACCTGAACTGTTAGTTTCTTAAAACTTTCTAATTTTCATAATCTTGTATCTGTTTTCCTATAGATGATAATTATGATGTAAATCATGCAAATAATTCATTCTTTATTTTTTTAACTTGTGCACAAATGTGAGAGCTAATTCACAAATTAAATATTATTTTTTTCGATTATTTGATAGATAAATATGCTCATAAATTAATCAGAGAGTTAAGTTTATGGAACGTTCTATATAAAATTCCACTAAATATCGATAGTTTTTTTAAAACAGAACTTTAAAAGAAAAATTTATTTTTGAGGTGTTTATTGCTTTCACTCTACAATTGCAGGCCTAAAAAAATCAAATGTATTGCCTCTGAGAGCAATATTTGTTGCAAGCCTCATGCGCATGCGGTACAATGAAGTAATTGTTCAGTTATATCTTGAATAATTAAATCTTTTCTTTGTCAAGCAAGTGTAGAAATCTCCACGTAGCGGTAATTTATGGTGGAATAATTTCATATTAATAATTTGTTTAGCATGTGACTTTGCTATTTTAAAACATCATTTTAAATATAAGATTTTAAATTACTGGGGGACTATTTCTTAAACTAATAGCTTATTGTAACTCCTTGGTTTAAAACTGCTTCCAGTATTAAATTGAAGTCCGCTTATAAAATTACAAGTAGAATTCAAATCAAAATCTTAAATGCATAACAAAATTTAAATGTTTTAATACATAATGCTTTTCTAAAATAGTCATTACGGTCAGACGGTACTGAAGGATACATTAAAATTACTATATAGTTAATATGTTGAAGTTTATGTAATTCGTAAAATTTGCTTAAATTAAATAATCTGGCTGAATTGCTTAAATTATTACCATAAATAAATTATCTTTTATGTTTCCAAAGACACATTATTATTCCAAAACATACTTATTTGATATATTTTTTTAAATTCTACCGACAGAGAAATTGTTCCTTACAAAGGTGTTTTCACTTGCACTTTTTACACGTCTACGGTGAAGATGCATTTGTTTTCTTTTTTACTCGTATAAGTTTCAATGTTTTTCATGAGACAGATGAAATTGATAAACAAGGTAAAGGAGAAAAAAATCTGTGCCTCAACGACAGATGCCAAAACTGGCTTTGAAGGATCCTCACCTTCATTGTTCCTGCACGGCATTGGCTGAGTCACAGCAGCCGTGTTTTCCTTAAATTTGCCTCGGGAAAGTTTTGAGAATAACTTGTTTTAGATGGTGTGCTACTATAGAGAGGGCGGTTTGTTTAATTCTTTAGTATTTCATTGTCAATCCTGAAGCCCAAGGTTTGATATTAAACTTAATGCTTCTCACTGCAATTCAGAAATTACTAAGTTAAGAAATAACCTTGAACTTTCTGTGTTGTTAAAAACAAGAGGGGTGAAGCAAGGTCATTTTGCAGTGAATTGTAGTCACACGTTACTAGATTTTTGGACTCGCTGGATTCCATTAAATTTATTCTTGAAGACAGTGCAGATATCAGGGAGATATTATCATCATTTTATTTTGGATTTTCGTTCCAAGTTTTCCCTATGTTATGAAATGTGAATGTATGAAAATTTATTTGGGGGCTACAGTCCTCTTCGTTCTTTTCCATATTTGCTATACTTTGAATTGACCAGATGCACTTTTAAGCAGGTATTTTGTTCAGTTTGTCAGGTACTATGCGGTTATTTTTTCTACACAAGAACTAATTAGATCTTAAAGAATTAAATTAAAGCCGGAGTTGTATAAATAGTTATACTTTACCAAAGCTCAAACGTGGTAACTTTTAAATAACCATCTACTGCGCTATTCATTTCATTATCAAATTATTTTTCTTCTTGGAAGAGAATACGTTTAAAGAAGGCAATATTTCAAAGACCATAGAAGTAAGTGTCTTCTAAAATGTATACTATCATGTCTAATAAAACAATTCATAACCAGCATAAGACGTTCTTAAAGTGTACAATGGATTCGCGAGCCGCATAAAATAGATTCGGGGCCGCGATCCACTGATATAAATATCATCTTAATGAATAGAAGGTTATAAGGAAAGTCAAAGCAGAAATTAAATAACCACATAGATCTAATAAATGTTATTTAAATACATTTTTTCGCGAGCAGATCCAGAAAGCCGTAGCGCTCAGAAGGTCATGATGCAAACTTTATTTTTTCTTTAATGCTTTAGAAAACAGTTTTGTGATCTGAAGATTATGAACTTTAAGCAAATTTTTGCATGAACCAAGCTAATAACTTTACGTGAACATAGTGCAAGCTGTTGCTACATAGAGATTTAAAAAAAATCTGTGACTATTCGAGTTATATATTTATTACAAATGCATACTTTGATGTATATGTGTAATCCGTTTTTAAATCAAAGTCAGCATGAGTCAAGTAAACATAAGATGTAACTATGCTGGTAATATAAACGAAATTACAAAAGGATTAGATTATTAAGGCAAAGTACATGAGCGTTATCAGTCTTCCTTTATCCTAGTTAAGGCTGAGTATCCTACGGGGAAATGAGAGTATTACGAGGAAATTTTAGAGTTGTAGAAATCAAAGCATTTTTATGCAAGTAATAACTATTTAAAAAACAGGAGTCATCGCATTGTCCGTGGGCTCACTGTTCTGAGGTAAGCAGTTAACATATCTAGCTAAATCGCCGTGATTCCGATCTCGTTCGGAAGTGCCATTCTGATTCTATTTGTCATTTGTCTTGTGGCACCAGCCTTGCCTTTCTTGAAAGGTTGGAACTAACAACATTCAGGAAGGGTAGAGGATGCAGTATTAAGATTTACAGTTTGACTTTTAAGATATCTTGTACATGTTACTTCTATGTGATATCTCTCACACATAAGTTACATGTGGCGAATTATTTTTCACATTTGCTGTTCCAAAATGTCAAGTAGTCTCTACAGTAGTGCCCGAATTAAAAATGCGATAGGAAATAATTTGTGACAATTAAGTCTTGAATATAAGAGTATGCATTTCTTGCCTCATCCCAGTCATCCCAAATAATTGCATTTTTTCTTATGTGTTTTTACGGTATAAAGTTATTGTTTAAAATTTTAGCATATCCAGTTCACGAAAGGAAGAATCATTACTTGCATTCCTGTTAAGGCGAATTTAAGTGTTCATATTTCCTGCTTCGAAGAACTTAAAAATCTTCACAAATGTTAATATATTTAAAATCTAGCTCTTTTAATACAGTGGATTATTATTGAATATTCTGCTTTTAATTTCAGATCATGGGCTACACGTACCACTCAGAGAACAGCTTCAACACACATAAGATATCGTGACAATGATCTCCATGAAGAACCCCGCTCTGTGGTGCCTTTTGATCGCTGTTTTGGGACCATCCATGGTGGAACTTCATTCTATCGCGAAATGGAGAAGTACATAATTTTTCTTATTTGTAACTCATTTTTCCTTCTAATCATAATATAAATGCCATTTTATGCAAACTTCAGAAACACTTCAAGGATTATAGTGTAGAGCTCCTCACTTTGTAAAAGCTAAGTTACTGTTGAACGTGAAGAAACTTAAGAACTAAAAAGCGAATAATCTCTTGCGTTCGTGAAACAAGAAACAACAAACAACAAGATGGAAGGGTAAACAACCCTTTATTATTCAGATAAGATTTAATAGAAATCCGATTTGGAGTGTACAATAAAAGCCGACACTTGGGCTTGAACTTAAGAGACTAAGGAGTAAACTAAAACTAATCTAAACTAAAAAGAGATATAGCCGAAGCTATCAAGATTCTAATCGAGTTAGCCCCTTAACGCTAACTGACTGCGAAGCTATCAAGGGCCTGAGTACGGCCGAGCGTAATAACAGCTTACCAGAGAGAAGCCTAAAAAGGCGGACGCGTGCAGACAGAATACCTGGTAACTCTCTCTAACTCAGCAATTAGAACTTCGCGGGTAAATACCGCTCTTCTACATTATGTATTCAAACGTGATTCTAAAACTACGTTCTGGCCGGAAGTAGTAAGTTGAAGTTAAGAATTTGACAAGAAAGGAGTTTAACTGTTAATAAAATTAACATAACCCTTACAATAGCATTTCAGAAGTAAAATAAAGCTTATAGTTTCTAATTTAAACTTAAAATGAGAAAATACGTGTTACAAACACACAAATTAATAAAAGATTACCATCTGAATAATCTAGACTTCTAACAGCTGTTATTTATAGCAGTGATATTTAACTTTTCTATAAGCAAGATCCCACTGAAAATTGTTTTAATTTGGAGACCACCTATACAGGAAACATGAAGCAGCCTCGGTGAGTGGAAGCAAAGTGTTGCGTTGCAATTGAAACAAATCAGAATATTACCAATACTTTTTCTTGAGTAAATTATGTATAACATAAAAATCGCCCTGAAATATATTTGAGCTCGTCATACCCATTTAAAATATGAAGATAAATAGTAGTATAATAAATCTTTTTAATATAAACCCTAAACCTTATTTTTTAACATTTATAAGTTATCTGTTGTAATTAAATTCATAGAAAATCAAAATAAGTTAAAACCTATAAATATAAAGCCTTTTCAAAATTTATAAGTTGCTTGTTGTAAGTAAATTTATGGAAAAGAAAAATAAGCAAGAAATAATTTTTGTTTTGTTTTGCTTTGCAAAATTGTTGTATTGCATTTCTTTTACAATTTTTATTACTTCGTTTATTGTATTATTCCTCTGACAATAGCTTTCACAATTATAGTTACTTCCAAAAATAAAACAATAAATTCTAAGGTTAGTAGCACAATTACTTGAGAATACCGATAAAGAGCAACGCTAACGTTAATTGGATTCTTATCCATTTGCATTTCTGTGGAAGCGTTTTGTATTGCCACCAAGGCTATAGGCACTTGCAGCAAACCGATGGATTTAAATAATATAATTATTATTTAAGTCTACTTTCTTGCTTATTTCCGAATAATAGAGGCTAGACATTTGCAGAGATGTTCGTTTTCTCCTCTGTAATTATATTGTAGCGATAATCCATGATCGTATTATCCGATTTCAAGAAACCGCACGTTAACTAAGGATTATATGTATTAAAGGCCTTCCGCCGTTGATGTATTACTTATTGCCCTTTACCGGGATCATATCATACTTGCAAATATACTATCATATATACTTGCAAACGTAAGTACAAGAGACTGGTGAACATGAATCTTAAACCTTTAAGGCCTACACAGCGCATACCCTTGCCTCGAAAGTTGGTTTGCCACTTATACAATCGTTCTGCTGCATATACAGAGTCTGAAAGAACCTGATGAGTCTTTTCCTCGTTAGATATTGTCACCACCAGTAGTTCTCACGGATCATTTATATCCATTATAAAGATAGCAGTAGGCTAAGAGAAGAAAAACTTAGGGGAACAGTACGGTAGTGAGAGCTTCCAAAAGCACAGTTTCACTATTATCTTCCAACCAGATACGTATTTGCATTTTTTGGATGTGTGGTACCATTGCACAGTGCAGTAAGAAGTTTTAAAGTGGAAGACGCTCAAGTCTTCCGCTTTCTGTGTTACGTTTTTTATCACACGTACCTCTAATTCTTCGGCATATGCAGCAATGCCTGCATCGTGCTTGCAAAGTGCAGAAAGTACCGGAAAGGAGCCGTGTCGTAGGAATCACGATATTCTTTTGACTCGAATAATCTGAGAATTCATTATTTATTGGGAAAATCACTACCTATAACAAGGTCTCTCAACCAGTGAGAAATTCCATTCTAAAAAGGGAATTTCACAATCTCAGGTGATTGTTCAATATCAGATTGACAGACTCAAACTATAATAAAAAGCTCACGGCAAAGAACAGCTAAGGTAAAATTTTCAGTTTTCAGTTTTCCCTATTATACGAAACGCATTACTTAAAATGAAAGAAAACCTTAGGGAGTTTTAAGACACTCTGTCACATGTTTAAGAGCGAGAATCAATGACGGTACCTCACTAACATTCAGTCTGTTAAGTTTCCCAATGTTATCATGTCTACCAGAGATAACATTATCATCTTTATACAAGAGAATATTTAGCTTCACATATCTATTATTAAAATCCTGTCAGATCTCCAAACCTTTCCCCAGTCAAGCATATATATTGGACAAGTAGGGATACCATTTACCACCGTCTTGTATTGCTTTCGATAAAAACACAAGCCTTGAAAAAAAATCTGGAGGAATGTTGGTATCACTTATACGAACTCTTGTCTATCCAAATGCATTCGTATTTAAGAATTAAGCGATTTTACATCATACTAATACGCAAACATTCATAATCTCTTTTTACTAAACAGAATATTTTTCTATCTACTTTTTAATCTCTTCCTCATGGAGCTTCACCTTTTAATTTTTTTTTCCTCATTGCTTATCAACTGTTTTGTCTTAATCGAACACTATTTCAGTCCGCAATTTTTTTTTCAGGCATGTATTAAATTGCAAAGCTTAATGATAGTGAATTCTATATTGCATTTGTTTATTTAACACAAAATAAAAATTTTAGAAAGGTTGTGAATATTAAATAATATGTGTTAAAATCAATTTCATCTTAAACATAACTACTAAATTAGTATTTTTAAAGTTTGCTAAAAATATTTTTTCCTCAAGTAAGGTTAGGTTAATTAGTAATTCTTTATAATTCATGACCAAAGAAATAATAATTCATTAGTAGTGAAGTTTCAGTGAGTTACGCACCAGATAGCACTACAGATTTGCAAATACATTGACTACTTTACATGATTATCATCTTTTATGGTAAATAGTGTTTTGTCTTATGTTATAATATTGGTTTGTTCTTAAATGTCAAAAGCTTATACTATTTTAAATCATATGCTTTTACACAAGAATCTAAAAGCTTCACTTTTTAGTAAATTTTTTTGCGTTCATTCTAGTTCCCAGGCAAGGAGGCGACTTGAAATTAGAACCTACGGAAGCCATCTTCTTTCCAGGGGACAATGCCACCTTTACTTGTTATCATCCTTTAAATGTTACATTCCACTGGGATTTTGCATCTAATATTCAGTTATATGATATTATTCATGGTACTTCAGTGTCAAACGCCACTAAAAATCTCCACTTCTTCAGCAAACTCACCATCTATTCTGTTTCGCGTCTCATGTCTGGAGAGATCACCTGCTCGGCAGATGAAGAACACAAAAAAGCCATTGGCTTTCTGATTGTCAACGGTAAACATTATCTCTAATATTTTATTCTTCATGTGTCATTTCCAAATCCTGTTTAAAAATGAATAATTGCTGTTACTTAAGTAAAAATTGTATAGGTTTTAAATGATTTTTCCTTAGAATAAGCTCCTAATTACTATTTCTATCATAGAATAGACAATGTTAAACAAAAGTAGAAAATTTCGGAAAGAACGGAATACGCTTTCTAAGTTCTTAAAGGTATTTGAAAAATCACCAACAACCAAATTAAAATGCTATACTGATCTAAATACAGGATGATTGATGTTTTTTCCTGATAACGTCTCTTTGGAAGCAGTACTCGTCTTACATATCTAGCCAAACGTTTAGAAAATATATTTTGATAATTTACCACTTATCATTTAAATTTCCTTTTAAAAGAATTATAGGTACAGTTACAAATCAAAGTATGGGAGACACCAGCGAAGTATCGTATGTTAACTGGAAATGCCTTGTCATACTAACTAACTAGAAAGAAAATAAAACTGCAAGTTTTATAAGAGCTCAAAAAAGAAAGGTTGAGAAGAGCATCTGAAGCTTTCCAAAGGATCTAGAGTTTACTTATTATGGTACATCGATCAATTCCACTGTACACATCCAGTATTTATTAAAAACAATTATTTAAGACATAAAGAGATTACAATACAATTTAAGAATATTATAGCAGGGGTTCTCAACCGGTGGTAAGCAAAGTATTTTTAACTATTTAATTTAAAAATTAAAACCAAAACATCCTGATTGAGTTTTTTTCTCTAACTCTCGTAAATTTATGCGATCTGAGCTTTGTCCAAGAATGGTGGTGGTAGTGGTACTTTGTAGTGGTAATACTATCAGGTTCTGTGTTCCTCCTTACTTGCTTTGGGAACATTAAATGTCCTGACTCGGAACAGGGAGCTTACTAAAGCTATGTTCAATAAATTTGGGAAGTAGACAATACACACAGGAAGGGTATACGAAACCCTTTATTTTTCTCTCTTTACAATGATTTCCGGACTTCGGAATACAGAGACCAACCACTTGTGGTCTGAACGTAAGAATATAAAAATATTAACTAAACTCTAACTAAACTTAACTTTGGATTAATCAAACAAGTGCCTACTTCAAGATTGGCCGTATATTAGCAAAAAGCCGTATGTAGTACAGAGAACTGCTAACACTACGATACGTTTAAAATTATCAAGAGGATTAAACTCTGGCCTTGAAGGCAACCAGCAACCGAGTAAAACTACTATGGCAAGCGGCCTGCTTCTAATAGCTCCTTCCCCTCTCTTGCTTGGCAAAAAGCCACAACTTAAGTACTTGGCGTTCGCAAGACAAATTTGCATAAATAAGTTAAAGCTTTTAATTCTGGCCGGAAGTAGAAAATAAGAAGTGATAGTAAAGATTTAAAATAAAATAAACGTTAGTAAAACTTAAGATCCTTACAATACTAAAGGCTTTCAATTTTTTTTAGATGGCACGCGTTAGTCAAAAGGTTGAGAACCGCTGAGCATAATGTATATGTTTATTAGAACCAATATGGACAAGCTAAAATTTAGCAATAACATATTTGTCTAAAAGGAAAAGTCTCTTAAAATTCCTAAAGCTACTGCCAACGAAGCCACTCATTTATTTATAAAGCAATAAATATGATTGTAAATCTAAAGTGAGTAGCACGAACTTTTGAAACACATGCTGAAAACACTGAAAAACGCACTGGTGCTTACTTTGAAAAGTAACATTCTATCAGTATGGTTATAATACACACACACACGTCGACATGACGTGTAGAACGTTCTAAATGCATGTCAGAAAGTCGTGTAATGAATAACATGCTTTCATAACGTACCGTAAATGCTGCGGTGGTACTTGGAAATTCTCAGAATCTAGGGCGAAGAATTTATTCAGTTCTGAGAATTTCGACGCATTTTATGCAGATAAGTGCACATATATGTAGAAAAATTTTGAAGTTCACCTTTCCATATATTTATTTTCTGTTTTATAATCTTTACAGGTGTACGAAATGGAGGTGCATGCAGGACGTCGAAAGACTGCATTACAGATAAAGCAACATGCCAAGATGGAATTTGCGAATGTCCCAAAAATTTCGTGCGTTTGCGCATAAAAGAAAGAGGTTATGATGTTTGTAGGGAAATGAGTGAGTATCACACGATATTTTTACCTGAATTTTTAATTATATTCTCAAAAAGAAACGCGAACTAAAATATAATCATAATTTAAGTAGGGTGCAAAGCGAAGAAATCGTTATAAAGTTTAATTCAATGTAACGACCTTTGAGAGGTACTTAGAACTGCAGTGACCCAACAACCAACCATTACTTACACTGAAAAAGGCACTGACATATTGGCCTCGAAGACATGAGTACATTTATTATTCTGAGGTACAGAGTTTTCGATTCAAATCCGAAGTATACAGACACAGGTGCAAGGTCAACCAAAGCAGTAGCTGCGTGATTATGGTTTATGACAATACTGAGCAGTGGCAAGTAAAAAAAAAAAAAAAAAAAAAAAAAAAAATCCCTGAACACTAATTCACTCCAGTTCAAATCGCTGTAAATGGGCTGACTACATAGGAATCTTTGTGGTTTTTCCCATATGTAATGTGAATAAGATACGTTTTTTCTTCAAAGTCCTCCCCGGAAGTATATTTTCCTGGAGACAGATAGCTTAGTTTGCTTTCTCTTAATCAAATAATTAAATGCAATCACAGTGATGGCGTGACTAACGTTAGTGCACTAATTAGCGAGCAAATAAGTTTCCCTCACCGTCAAATTTTAATAAGCCACAATTGCAGGGAGGGGGAAAAATTTCTAAAAACCCAAAATTCGAATTTATGAGACTTGCAGTAAAAATTGCGCCTAAAAACATATATGAAGTTGTGCATATAAATACATTTAATAAAGATAGACATATATCATTGTATGTACTAGCGATGGAAATTACTTTGTAAGGCGTATGTTAATTTTATAGCAGGTATTTATAATTTTGAAACTCTTTCCTTTCACTTCTTGTTTGACACTTACAACTTCCTACCAGAATGAGTTTTTATTTGTGTCTAGCTTCGGCCACGTCTATTTTAGTTAGTATTTGATTAGTTTCTTATTTTTATCCTGATTTAAAAGCCCAAGTGGAGGCTTTCCTGTAAGCCCGATAAGAAGGCCATCTGTTATTATTTCTTTGAGTGAATATAAGGGTATTTTAATCCTTCTCGAGTCTACGTTGTAAGTACTTGAACTCAGCAATAAGTCGATACTTAGTTCACTAGGTTCCTCGACATTTTACCCTAGACAAAGTAGCGAGAGACATTACAAATTTACCAAAGAAATGCTGTAACGCGACTTCGATCAAAAAGCTCAATTTTTATTCGTGTATATATTAAAAAGAATACAAGGTGCGGCAGGGGAACTTCTTTATTTGAAACGCGTGCCATATAGCGACATTTATTCTGAGAAGGGTGGGTGACGCTCATTGAAAGGAGAGGTGTCTATCGTTTTATGTCATGTAGGTTTAGTACCGATCATGCACGAGAACGAGGGAGGAGCACGCGTTCGCCTTGTCGTACTTTTCAACGTGCTGCATTTTCATCGATATAAATTGGCAGTGGTGCAAAAACTTAATCCACGCTATTTTCTTTCACGAAAAAAATGCGAAGCCGTTCTTGGCAATATGATGCCCTTATGTTTTTTAGCGATGTGGCAAATTTTCATCTTTCCGATTGCGTGAATAAGCAAAACATTCGATACTGGAGTGGCACGAACCCCCGAAAACTTCATGAGCAGTCCCTCTATACAATACGTGTGACTGTTTGATGTGCATTGTCCAAAATAGGCATCATTGGACCATGGGTTTTCGGAGAACATTTCCCTGGACGCCTTATCTCCTTACGGGGCGACTTTCAGTGGCCAGCGCGCTGGCCTGATTTAGCCCCGTATGATTTCTTTTTGTGGGGCTGTGTGAAATCTCTAACGTCCAAAGAACCTGGCTCAACTGAAGAACAATATTCAAGCTGCTAAATCGACAACATACCCGATATGTTGGTAAAGTGGAAAGAAACTTCAAGACTCGACTATCTCAATGCATTGACCAGAACGGAAGCCACCTTAATGATGATATTTTTAAACCACATTTAAAAAAAAAAAAAAAAAAAAAAAAAAAAAAAAAAAAAAAATTAAACTGATATCGCTTACACTATTTGTGTTCATTTTTAAAATAAAGTAGTTTATGCCGTATATAATATTACGTATATGATATTTATTTATAATTTGACCGAGTGAATATTGTTTGATAAAAACGTTTGGGTCAGGAGGAAGAAAATGTTTTTTGAATGCTAAGGCTTTTGCTTGCTTATATACTTGCAAATTTCTTAAAATGCGTTCTACGTAAGTCAGGGGATTATACTGTATTTGACTTGCATCCAGTGATAATGTAAGTTAATAAAATATTTGTTTGCATGTGATAGTACTTCTTTTTCTTTTAATATTTGAGAGTAGTAATAAAAACAGCATATTAAAAAACATTAGCTTTTGATTGCTTGAAAAATATTAAATGTTTTGAAACGTAAAATATGACTTTATTCAGAATAAAAACATAATCTGCGTTTCTGAAACAATTACAGTTTTATATAAAGTGTAATTTTAGATGTTCAGCAAGCAAAGTGCGGTGATGTCGGCTATTTAATAAATCCCTTTAGTTAACTGGAAAATGCTTAATCATGCAACTGAACCATGTTTTTCAGTAATTTAACAACCTGTTAATTTCATTTATAAATTACTGTTTATCGAGAGTTTAATGATTCATTTCTGTCTGTTTATCGCTTTTTATTGTAAATCTACTCATCACGTTCATGATTATTTTGGCTATTTATCAATAGTTGAAATCGTTTGAGTTTGCTGTTTACCGACGGAAATCGTTGCTGTTTACCGATATTTGAAATAATTTGAATTTAGTTATTATTTATCGACAGTTGAATCATTTGACAAAACTCACAGTTTAATTTAACGAGTTATCACGTTTAGAACTCAGCTGCTTCATGCTATTGAAAAATGATTAAAAACATTTTGTACAAAAGCATAATTTAACATAAATTAGCATGTTTGCCAGTTGTTAACCTCAAAATATTGAATTTAAAGTCGGATTTATGGAAATCTAAAGATATTTAAAAAATAATCTACCTTGTTTTACAATAAATCATTCTGTAAAATAGTATACTATTCAAATCTTACAGAAATGTAAACCTTACATCTTGATTTCCTAAAATTCACCAAACACTTTGTCGAGGCTTGCGAAATTGCACGCCACTTTTCTGAAAGTTTCCTATGCTCTTCAGATCCTGGAGCGTCAGGGAAAAATTGGGCGTGTTGCGGTTCGGCGATATCAGGCATCTCACGCAGTATGCTCAGTATGGTTCAAGTTGCGAGGAGTAAGCTGGCCAGTGCTACAGTGATATCTTCTTTTTCGAAGCATTCTGTTACTGAAAATGTTCTGAGCGAACTACTCTGTCATCTATTAACAAAACATCTGAGTCATCCTTAAAGAACATATGCGGGATTTAAAGATTTATTCACATATCTGTGACCAGTAATAAAACCTCTATTAAAAATACGCAGTTCCGTGCGGCCTTTTTAATGATTCATTCTAAAGTATGGAACCGCGGCCGTGGAAATGAGATCTTTCATGAATAAGACTAGGAAAATTGCGTATTCCTTATTCCTTGCCTTTCAAAACTGGTCTAAAATCCCAGTTCAGGCTTTGTATGGACTCATCAACAAACTCATCAATCAACGGCCTCATTGCTTTTGGTTTCATCTTATCTCTTTGAAAGGTAAAGTAAAAGAGACACAAATCTTTCGTTTTTTTCCTATAAATTTCAACCCGTTGAAATCATCGTGTAGCACCAGAGTGCCTAAGTAGAGTTCTCACGGCATACTGAAGGTTTAAAATCAACTCTTCTGTACTCACTTATTGTTTCTTCTATCCGACAGGGACAGAAAACAGTCTTCGAATACGGTTGTTGCACTTGACCAGCCATCACTAGACTGTCTAATAACTGATTCACTGCATTGAAAGATATTCAGAGTTTTTGATATGAGACTTTGAGTGATATTCAGATCTTCGGCTACTTCCATTTGTGTTTTCCCCTCCACTGGAGACTACCAATTATTTGCTATTTTTGCTTTGCACATAAGTTATACTTTCGAGCCATAACTAATGACTACTAAACACTCTCAGAAACTATCATAACGTTAATCAACCATACACCCAAGTTTTAACGTGCATGCATTGCGCAATGTGTTGTTTGTCGCCTAATTTGAATATTTCATTCACTAACCTCTGTAGAAGTTCAGTTTAGGGTTCAGTTGCAAATAATTAGCATAAATAATTACATCATTGGATATCAGTCGAAAACTTTAATCAGTGGACCTTTTCTTTCCTTCCAGATTACTCTTTAATCTTTACGAGCACTAGTTAATGTTTATAAACAATGGAATCTTTAGGCAACATGAAAAAAATATAGAATGCAGTCACACGGTTGCTACAACTAGCAGAGACCGAGGCTAGCGAAATGAGCATGATGTGTCGAATAGTTATTCATGAAATAAAAATCGGAATTTCTTTGCTAAAAAAATTTGAGCCAAATACCCTCTAAGAATTCTTATCTGTTCGTAAAGGTTAAGAAGTACCGTTGAAACTATGTTTAAGAAGATAGTTCTAATACAAATGTTCCATATTTTTTTTTAAATTTTGAAATGCTGTAACTCTTTTTTTAAATGCACAATCCTAATCCTGTTTTTATACGACTCTGTCTGTGGGAGGGTGCGGAGCACGTCCCATTTTCAGCAATTTAATTTCATCTAACACATTTCAAACGTTGCAGTTATAAAACTCTGAATTAATTTTTTTTTAAATAGCTCTACACAAGAGAAATGTTTTATAATTTATATTAATAATAATGATGCCATTTATAGTAAAATAGATATGAAATAATTTTAACTCTTGAAGCTGCACATTACATTTAAAGATAATAAATACCAGGGCACTAAAATCTCCTGATTTTCACTGGCACAATAATAACCCTTTTTTTTTTTGTTTGTTTGTTTGTTTGTTTGTTTATCCGATAAAATTAAAAAAAATAAATATC